AATATATGACTGACAAATTCTTTTATTGCATGGAGACTGCAGCCCTGCAGGGCTGCTCCTGCCATTACCCAGGCTATTTTACTGGCCTCATCAAGCCTCTGTGTGGCATGTGACTGATGAAATGAATAAAATACTACACTATCTCTTTCAACCTAAACATGCTAGTTATATCATCAGATCCTATGTACAATCCTCCCAAAGGAGAGTGTCACGGATAAGACCCGGCCTGTCCTCTCCGGGCGCTGGTGTCGGGCCACCACGGGCCCGTAACACGCAGCACGTGATGACGGGGAACATGCGCCCCAGTAGGAGGAATGCACACGTGAGAAGCATGTGACCGAGAACGACGGCGTCAAGCTGTTGCCGAGCCCAACTCGACACCAGGGGTTGGGGAGGAGTGCTAGGAGGTTAGGAGTAGCGCCTGGCCCGCAAGGGATGTCCGATCGTCCCCTCTGCAGCCAGGAACAGGAGAGGAGGAGGAGGAGGAGGAGAGGCCATGGTGTCCGATTACCCCTTTGCGGGCCTGCGTATATAAGGCGCGATAGTGTACCATGAACTATATCGCTTAGATCGTCTGAAGAACTACCTTACTCCGTGCAAGGAGGTGCCAGCGACTTATCAGGCTGTTATATCCGTGCCGACTCCGCAAGCCTAAGTTGGATTAATGCCACTCAAATCACTCTCACTCCGTTCCGGATTATTGAGATAAGGAAAATTACTATTCTATTTTACATAACGACTCTAATCTTCATCGTTTTCGTTTCCGTCGCAGGTGTCTCCGTCTCCGCTACTCGGCTCTTCCCTTCCCTTTATCAACCCTCGCCGGGGGCTCCTCGTCCACATCTATTGCATCTTCTTCGACCTCCTCCTCGTACGGCTCGCCCTCAGCATCCTCCGACTCCAACTCGCCCTCAGCATCCTCCGACTCCGACTCCTCTGCGTCCCGGCATTTCTGGCCTTCTCGCTGGATGAAAACATCCCAGTGCTCCAGGGTTTTGTCGATCCCCTGTATGCGTTCGGCCAGCTGTTCGGGTGTGGTCGCCGAGTTGATAGCGCCTACGTTGAAGCGCAGCTCGCAACCAAGGTTTTGGAGTCCCATGATCACGCGGCTGAGCTGCCGGTGATCTGTTTGCTGACGCATCAGTAGATCAGCCAGCATAGCGGAAACTCCCGCATTGCTGAGCGTCAAAACTGGCAACTCCGCTGGCGTTTCCGCTGGCGACTCCGCTGGCGTCTCCACAGGAGCCTCCTCCTCAACCACTCTGGGCACCATGACCCGTACCCGCGAGTGTCCCGCAACCTTCTTCTTCTTCCCCTTCTCCTTGACCATCCCTGCTTCCTTCTCGTCTTTGCGGAAGCGCAACAGTGGGTTTCCGTCCTCGCAACAGGCTTTCAGCTTCCGGCAGTTATCGCAAGACGTCTTCCCATGCCACGTTGTGTTGGCCTTGGGATCGCTCCATACGCATTTTTTCCCCGTCTTGATACATTTGGCGCATTTCTCTACCAAATCGGGTCAGGTTTATAATCCAGAACTCAAAACCGTACTCACTTTCTCCTTCTGCATCGCCTCCTGCATCGGACCCATCAGTCTGGGCCTTTTCGGCTTTCTCGGTGTTCTCGGTTTTTTCCGCCTTTCTGGGTTCTTCGGCCACATCAGCCAGCTCAGGCTCCGCGGATGACTCGACATGTTACACTTTCTAGGCTGATCACTGATGACAGTGGCATATTTGATCCCATCATCAATTTCTGATGATATCATCAACCTCTACCACATCACACCAACCAACCCCAAATGAAGGCTAGCACAGCCTTACCATATTTGGTTAGATGATATCATCCATCAATCCATCAATGACTCAGACTGAGTCATATCAATCCGAGTCAGAGTGAGTCATGATGTGAGTCAGGGTGAGTCGGTATGAGTCAGAGTGAGTCAGTATTAGTCAGCCTGGAATTAGTATATAAGTAGGACGCTGGTGGCCTTCTGCCCCCAGCGCTTTTATTCTCTTTTCCCTCCTACCTCTTGGGAAATAGTCATCTGGTTGTATCATACCTATCAATACAACTTGATCTCATCATCAACCACTACGAAAAGTTAGATCATTTGATCATCCATTAAGTTGGCCTATCATTTGATCCAGCTTTGTTTGTGACACGACACGCCGCATGACACGTCGGCCGACGCGGGCATTGGCTTCCGCTTCTTCGGCACGCGTCAGTGGCACAAATCCGCGCTCACGGCGAGCTTTGACCCGCTCTCTGGCCTTTTCGGCCTGGGCCCGGCGCCAACGTTCCTGATCCTCAGCCCCTTCCGCCTCCTTTTTCTTGCCCTCGGCCTCATTATTCTGGCCTTGGGATCTGACCACCTGTTGATCCTCGGCGCGGCTTCGGTGGTGCTCTGCCGCCATCTCTAGCAGCGCGTTGTGGTCTGCTGGTGTCCACTGCAACGGCGCCACCACGGACCTGTGCTCTGACGACTCCTCGTTTATCGGCTCGTTGTCAATCGGATCGTCGGGATCGTATGATTCCGACCGACCACCCGGTGACGGTGCTCTGGGAGCCGTCTCCGCCAGTAGCGCACGAAGCGTTTCCGCCCTGCGCCCAAGTTCCTCCAGCTCCCTCTGCACATCTACGGCGTCGGTTACGACCCGACGGTAACGCGTCAGCCAAGGGGTCTCGGTCCGTCCCACCGACCCATCCGCCCACCCTTTCCGTCTCCGACAGCTCTTCGACCTGCTCCACCGCTTCTGAGAAGAGATTCTTACTCTTCTTCGGAGTTTTGGCGTTTTGGCGTTTTGGCGTTTTGGCGGCATGGTGGGAAGTGGACAAGTTAGAGAGATTGATGTCAATCGGTGACGTGCTTCTTGTCAACCCTTTCCTTTTCCGTCCTCCTTGCTATTATCACGTTCTCACCGGCTTCCTCGGTGATCTCGGCCTCTCCGGCTTTCGACTCAAAATTTTCACAAGTCCAACTCTGACTCCGACTCTCTCTGATTCCGACTCCTACCTCTATGACCATTGCTCCTGTTTCTTGTGGGCAAGAAACGCAAGAGGGGGATACTGTTATATCCGTGCCGACTCCGGCAGTCCGTCTCCGATATCGACTCCGGTATTTGGTTTTTACGCAATGAAGATTTACTGAGCGTTTCCAATTACTCCGACTTATAATCTATGCAATCATCTATGCCTTGTTCCTCATATGCAACTCCTCTTCTACTTTACTTGACCTTGTTCTAATCTCGTTACTTACTTTGTTATCCATTATTCCGTTTCCGTTACTTCTCGTACTATAAATACTTTGATATATTACTACATACTTCAGTTTGTAAATTAACGTTGCTGGTCTCTATCTCCCAGCGTCGTCTCGACTCCGCTCTTCTCTTCTTGTCTTGTCTTGGTCAACTGGAAGCCCCAGTCACCCAAACATCCTTCTGTGGTGTTCCGCCCCCAAGTGCTCTCCGACTTCGATTCCGTTTCCGACTTCGACTCCGTCTCCGGTCCTTTGGTCGACACGGCACTTAACCGTATTTACAAACTCACTTCCTTTTGACCATGTCAAACGTACGCCTCTCTTCTGACAACATTGACCCCGCCAATACTGGTCAACGGCGTTCATCCCGCTTCTACAAACAAATGGTTCCTCTCACTTCGCCTATGGCGAACTTCACCTACAACGCACTTGAGCAGGGGGGAATCCTTAGAGAACAAGCCAAGGAGCTCTCTGCTCAGGTGCACTACTATATACTAGTGACCAGAGTAATGATAAAGTGACTGCATAGTGATGAACGACGCATGGGAGAGGTCAGGTGTCGCTAATGGACCTAGGTGAGTGTCAAGTAGCCCTTGAAGCTCCGGAGAGGCAGGTTTGGGACCGTGATGCCAAGGGAAGAGCCCAGGCATCCTTAGAAGGCCCAGGAAGGGCTTTGGGGGGTCCAGGCTGCCTCTGGGCATCTCCGCATGTGACCGTGACCATGACAACCGGAATCGGAATTGATTGTCAGGGTGCAGGAATACAGAGAAGCGGGTGGAGACATGGAGACACGAGTGGAGAGGCGGCGCTTGATGGGATCAAGTGACGGCATCAGGGCTTCCCCTGACAATACTGTAGTATTTTACTCAATCCGAATGCCATTTTTGGCGTGACATCACATAGGAAATTTGCAATTTGTATGATGGCATCAAATTGCCTAATTAGGCAACTTTAGGCGCTGGATGGAAAATTGTGATAAATTACCATTTTGGGAAGGGATTTTTGAAGATTTGCTGTAACATATGAAAGAAATTCGCATAAATTGACAGGTGTGACATGTGACATGTGAATTGAGTAAAATACTACAGCACACATTTGATATGCATTCTGTCCTGTACATGAATATCACTGCTATAATTCAAAAATATTTAGGTGGGAAATGTTGCTGGGAATATATAAAGTTTAGAAATTAATTCTTTGTTGTCCACAAAACTTTGAGTTTTCGCCTAAAAAAATGCTTACTTGGCTGGGGTAAAAGGATTTCCAGGACCAAAAGATTTAATGTTTTTCAATAAGTTTGTATAATTCCCAGTAATGTTTCCCACCTAAACATTTTAAATTTTGAATCACAGCTGTGATTATATAATATTTTGTGGGAGGCAGGCAAGGTCCCCCGCCCACAGCACATAAGGCATTTCAGCTGAATCCATTATCATTTCAATGCCCAGTAGCACAATGGAGATTCTGTATCACATGGATGACCCAAATAAATACTACTATTACTAATTTCAGTATCCACAGTATCTACCAGCAACACCAGTAGCCCACAGATGTGATCCAGCTAGACATCCCAGCTTAATCCCCCATCTGGCTCCAGATGACTTCCACCTGATTTCCCGCAGATTTGCCGAGCTGGAAATTCCAGCTGAAATTTCAAATCTATGTTTGTCTGTATCTCAGCACTCTTACATAAGGGTTCGGCTAGGTTATAGGTTTGGCATGCTACAGTTGCATTAGATTTGAAAACATATCATTCGGCTTGCTCCGTCTCCTTCAAGAATCCAAACATCGCGGCACGCACATCGTCTCGTTCCATCGCACCCGCCGGGTATCTGTCCTCGTCGAGAAACAAAACATGCGCCACGCCCGTGCCCGCCCATCGCGTTGCCCACTGCGGAGAGTACGCCTCCAGCGCCTCGTCCGGGGAGCGTCCCGTGAACTCGGGCACGCGCACAGTCAGATTCGTCAGCGTCTTGAATCTGTCCTGCGCGACCAGCTCCGAGAATTCGACCACTTGGTCGGGGATGCGGCAGCTGCACGGATGGTTGAACTCCCAGTACGGCCAGTCTTTGAAGGAGATTTCGACGGCGGCGATGGACGGGCTGGATACGGATGAAAGGGCGGCGAGGAGCGCGGCTACGTGGTGCTGATTGATGTACAATGTCTCCAGTTTGGTGAGCGGACTGAGATCGACTCGATTCTAAGTGAGCCTGGGAATAAGGAGAAGAAAAAAGCACACGCACTGTCGCCCTGGCTGATATTCGAGACACGCTCCACATCGCTAATGTCTGCGTCCGACTCCTCGTACTTGATTTGAATGCGGAACGTCCGCAGAGACTTGCTTTGAGCCTTCAAAAAGGCATTCAAGTTGGACACTGGGCCCCAGCCAGAATGATACTCGAAGAACGACACGATGTCGAGGGTTTCGAGATGCATGGCATCGTCTCCAAGGGTGAGGAGCCACGCAATAAACTTGTCGACTTCTGCGGCGAGGAAACGGAGTTGGAGAGTTGAAAGATGGTGAAAGGAATGTGGAGAAGAGAGATCTGTGAAAGCGCAAGGTGTCGTCAGGTATGACGGCCGTGAAAAAAGCGACAGGCTTCGCAAGTGCGGAAAGGAAGTCACCAACGCCAACGGGTCTGAAAGGAAGTGAGTAGTGCCGTTGTAGACGAGTTCTCGGAGATGGGGAAAGTGCTGAGCAATCCAAGCGAGGGGTTTTGGCTCGCTCTCCATGTCGATGAAGAGCAGCTTGCGAATGGGGGAAGAGCCAAGCAGCTCGATGATATTCTGGATTAGCTGGGCTTCCCAGTCGGCCTGAACCGCAATCAGGACATCTTGGATACCGGGAAGCATGGTACACAGCGGCGAGCGAGACAACTGGAGGAATGGGCGGGCAGTATCGCGGATTCCGGTGGTGGACCCGCGATGGCGGACAAGACTGAGGGTAATCCGCTGAAAAAGGTGGTAGCGTGTGGCAGGCACCCATTGGCGGGCGACGAGGCTGCTCTGGAGGAGGCTTGCGCGGTCATCGTGCAGAAAGTCGAGGATTGCGTCGACGAGCTCCTGGGCGAGGGAAGCAACGGCGGACATTGGTAATCGTCATCGTCGTGACAAAACAAGGAGAGTTGATGCCGGGTTTCCGGTTGCTGGTTCCGATTTCAAGGATGTTCATTGTTCAATGACCACCACAAGAACCATCACCTCCTCAACTCTTGCAAGACAACTCGTTGTTTTCACTGCTGGGCCAACTCCCATCTGTTACGCTCAGCGCCACGGCTTCCTGAAGACTCAAGCTGTTCTCATACTCAGTTCGAGTCCCAGCTCTGAATCAAGTCCAATTTGTTGGCCCATTATTAACAACTTCTCCTCTCGTATGTAATTGCCAGCTCAATTTTCGTTGATGCATGCCTTTGTTCACATCCTTAAAAGCGAAATCCCAGTACGAATCGTTCTATGGGCTGGCTTGCTCAGCAGTTCACGGAACGGTGAGATCCGGCGGGACCCGCGCATTTCACAACCGGCATTGACCGAGCGGATTCCGGAAACTGCTAGCTCGCAAGTACAGGCAAGTACTCTTCGTATCATAGGCCGCTTGGCTACAGAGTTAACGCGTCAACGGTCGACCAAAGAGTCCAGAATGGTGTGGAGCAAGAGGCAAGGCCCCGATGACCGGTCTTTCGGCTGTTGATTGGCAGCGTCATGTGCCATGTGATTCGCTTTTCATTCCGTTTCCGACTCTCTCCACCCCCATATATGCCCCCTTGACCCGACCTCCTCTCGGCTCTACTGCAAGCAATGTCGGCGGGCTTCCGTATCACGCCCGCCCTATGGGACCGCATCCACCACTTCGCGTCGTTTCCCCAGACTGGCGGTGAGTGGTGGCCGTCGTTTACTCCCCTTCTCAGACTGACATCAGCAGTATCGCTCCAGCAGATGGTCCTCTTCGGGCAGAACCCCAGCCAGGGGACGCTGCTAAAGGCAAGCCAGTTTCTCGCTGGTGCGTTGTCTTCCCGTTTGTTTTCTCTTCTTCCACTCACCCGTCCAGAGGAACTCCCTGTCCGGCTCGCCCACCGCGTCAAAGAGCTCGACGAGCTGCCCCACAACCTCAGCGCGATGCCCTCGATAAACAAAGTGAAGAACTGGTATGCGCAATCGTTTGAGGTGCGTCTTCTTCCTCCGCTCGTGTGAAGCATACCCAACTGCTTCCCAGGAACTCATCAGCTTCCCGCCCATCGTGCTCCCTCCCGACATCCGCCAGGCGCTCATCGCTCCGCGCGCCGATGAGCTTGTGCTGCCCGAATCGACACCAAACCCATCGCTGGACGACTCTGGCTACGCGTACCTCCATGGCCATGGGAACGGTAATGGGAACGGCAACAAGCTCAAGCTAAGAGTGCCCATGGAGAAGAGGTGTGTGTGGACAATACTCTATTCCACCTCTAACTGACTAATATGAAGGTACTACGCCAACACCAAAGGCATCAGCTGGCCGCCTGAAGTCGCCGACTACAATACTCGCTTCACCAAGGCGCTAGAGATGATCAAGACGCGACATGACCCCACGGTGACGACAGTGGCGCAGGGCGTGTTGGAGTGGAAGAAAAGCCAAGGAGCGCGGACGATTGGACTCGATATCCAGGCGTGGCTGGATAGGTTTTACCTTTCTCGAATTGGGATACGGTTTCTTATTGGCCAACGTGTGTTTATCAACGGTTTTTATTCCACCCCCACTAAGTCCTTATAGATATTGCTCTAAATCGACAACAACCCCACGCCGACTACGTCGGAATCATATGCACCAACGCCAACGTCCACGACATTGTCCAAGAAGCTATAGAAAACGCGCGATTCGTGTGTGAAGAGCACTATGCGATGTTTAAAGGGCCGCCAGTCCAACTCATTTGCCCACCCGACCTCTGTTTCCCCTACGTTCCGGGCCATCTGTCCCACATCGTCTTCGAGCTGTTGAAGAACTCGCTTCGGGCAGTGGTGGAGCGGTTTGGGGTTGAGCACGAGGACCGCTTCCCGCCTATCAAGGTTGTCGTTGTCGAGGGGAAGGAGGACATCACCATCAAGATCTCGGACGAGGGAGGCGGCATTCCGCGAAGTGCGATTCCACTTATATGGACGTACATGTACACCACGATGGAGGGCCAGGGCATCGACCAGGACTTCCACGCGAGCGACTTCAAGGCGCCGATGGCCGGGTTTGGGTACGGGCTTCCGCTGAGTAGGCTCTATGCGCGGTACTTTGGCGGCGATCTAAGGCTGATTGCGATGGACGGGTTTGGGACGGACGTTTACATACATTTGAACCGGCTGTCGAGTAGCAGGGAGCCGCTGCAGTAATAATGTCTGAATGTATTCTATTGTAGTATTTTTTTTTCGAATCCGGCTGGATTGTTAAGTACAGAAAGAGAAGCCACTTCGACAAGCCAAAGTAATGGCGGTATTCGCTACCACTGTTTTCGTTGGAGCTGACCGGAGTGACGGTGATGTACTGAGTTGTTGTTAGCCTTGTCCAACTCAGGGTGCATAGTTGGTGCATAGCATCCTTGAAGTACTTGGTCAACATCACGTTACCGCTCTACGGCCGGCCGCCCTCCGGCGCATTTTCTTTCCAAATTTTCCTAGTGGAGCGATGAAACACTTGGATTTCCTTCAGATCTACATGCTTTAGCTTAATTTACAAAGTCTGCCTGGCTCAGAAGTTGGACATCCTTCTTGGTCAAAGTATTAAGAGAGAATCTTCATTGAATCATTATGAATGACATTGAATGTCATTGCGCCGGCACCACTTGTATACCACTACTAGTAGTAGCCGGCTCGTTGGAAGTACTCGGTGCGTATGCTGGTGGGGGCGCATCCTCCTCCACTTTCTTCTCCGATTTCTCGTTCTCCGCGTCTTTCGCTGCCTCGTCTCCTTTCCGCAGCCCCTTGAACGTAATGATGTCCATTCCCCTATTCCTCCAGGTCCGTCTCGGCAGCTCCTCGCGGGCTGCCTCGTCGGCCATGTCCGTCCAGCCACGGCGCAACAACCGCCAGACTGGGAGCACGAGCAGGAAAAACGCAAACAGGGCGAGCGCGATGGCGAGCGGAAGCATGCCGAATACGGCGGTGATCGCCCACTTCCACCGGGTGAAAGAAACGTCGTAGAGGATCTGGGACTCGTCCTTGGGGTTGTAGTAGCAGAAAGCGGTGCTGTTTGCCTGGTGCGAGGTGAGGAACCCGTCCGCCTTGCCGACGTCGGTGGAGAAGTCCTGCTTGTAGGTCACGTTGTGCGCGACGCCGTTACGAGAGGAATAGGCGACCTGCATGTTGACGGTATAGCAGACGGGACATGAGAGGGTGCAGTATAGATGGCTCGTTGAGGAGCAGCAGTAGCAATTGCAGCTGTAGGAGGTGCAAGACTGCGTACACGAGCCAGAGCCGGAGCAGCTTTATATGACGCGTAAGCGCGCGGTTGGGAGTGTCAGGCTTGACGCTACTCACCTGGTCGAGCACGACTGACAAGTAGAGCAACACGTGTGGCAGCATTTGTACCTGGACAACGCCTGTCAGCGCTAACTTCCCGGCGAGCCAGCAGCAGCACGCACCCGCCGTCGCAGACACTCCCGCCCTGTGTAGGGCACGCCGACGAGTTCGCCGCACACGTGTCGGGGCTAAACCCACTCTGCACCGTCGAAATCACGCTCCCACATTGCTCCGAGCCTGACGGCGCCGACTGACACGTCGAGCTCTTGCAGTTCGTCGAGCAGCAATAACGCGTGTCGATTTTCGAGCTGAGCACGGTGCAGCGGGTCAGTGGCCACCCATGGCGCACGATTTCTGAGGAGGAAGTAAGCCAGCGCCAAAAACAAAAACGAAAAAACGGCGCCCGCACGCACCGGGATAGTTCAGCCCGAAGAACAGGCCAAAGAAGAGCCCCAGCGAGACGACGAGCAGCAGCGCAAAGCACTTGTACATTGGGCGGGCCATCGAGGGAGGAGGAGGAGGGGAGGTAATTAACAGGCTTGGCTCAGGGGCTTTCGGATTGTGATCCCTGTCAGGGCGGTCCTGCACAGCCTGGCAGCTCACGGAAAATATGCATGAATTCACAATCGAACAGCCCTTGGGCTTTCGACCAGCGGGGCTGTGAAAATGCTGAAGTGGCTACTATTGCAGTGAAATTAAACTCCTATCAGGATTCAGACAACGCAACACCAACCAGGAGCGCACCGCAACGACGACTGCTTTGCGGGCAATGATTTCTTCTTGGAAAGTTGGGGAGAGGGATAGAAGAACGGCGTCGTTTGATAGAATCGATAATGATCGCGATATGTGATCAGATCCGGCGAATAAGTAGACAACCACAACACCGGGTCATCGGTAAGCTTCAAAAATAATTGAGCCTCTGCTTTTGATGTCCATTCTCTGGTGATTACTGTAGTATTTTACTCAGTTCGCATGTCACGCGTCACACTTGCTATAAAATTCGAATTTTTTTCGCATGTCACACCGTTTTGCTCAAATTTGTGTCCCAAAAAGGCAATTTATGACGTTTCCGGGCGCCTCCGGCGCCAAGAACTTCCTAATTAGGCAATAATTCGAATTCAAAATTTCGTATCAAATGTCACGCCATTTTTGGCATTCGAATTGAGTAAAATACTACAGTAGTGCATGCTATTCATACCTGGTCATTGGTTCTAACTTTTAGTAAACGATATACTGTACTATTTCATTCAATTCTGCGGGCCTGTGACCTGTGACACATGTGGCAGAAATGTGCAATTCAGCCAAGGGGTGAATTTGGTGTGACCTCCTGCCTTATATGGAAGTTCTGCGCGCCGTAGGCGCGGAAATTTTTTAAAATTACCATTTTGGGACGGTTTAGGGCCAAAGAAACTCGCTGTGACCTGTGACAGGCAGAAAATTTTCGGCCAAAAAAGTCAATGTGACCGTGACAGGACTAATTGATTGAAATAGTACAGTACTTATCTTGGTAATTTGTCACTTATTCTGATAAATTGGGTACATTATGGTCCTGGACTCAATTTGTGATATATACACTGTACAGTCCCATGTTTGATACATTAATTTCCTGACCACAGCATTGCAAACCAGTTAAAGATTTAATGTAGGAGAGAGTAATATGCATTCCAATTTGGTACAGATTGAATTTACTGTTCGGTGAGTTTTATTCTTCATTTACCAGGGCTTTGAAAACTGACCCATTTTGGCACACTTCCTTGTAAGAAAGAAATTCTCCCACCTGGCCCACAAGGGATGGACAATCATCCCCTCTGTGGCTAGAAACAGGAAGGAGCAGGAGCAGGAGAAGCCAAGAGTGTCCAATCACCCCTCAGGGCCCACATATATAATGTGTGATAGTGTACACTATACTCAATCACTTAAATCATCCATTGTACCGCTTCTCTCTGTACAAGGAGGTATTGTCAACTCCTCGGGCCTGAAACGACCCAATTCAAACCTCAGCAACTGACAGCGACAAGGAACCACGTTAACAAGCCCTTTGAATTTAACTCTAACCCAACAATAGCTCATTCACTTAGGAATACCAAGAAAAATGTGGCTACTGGTGAAGGGCCATACTCATAAAACCTGGGGAAGGGCTCAAGTGTTACAAATATCATGCTTTTTTAAAAACCTATTTTATTTATTTCTGGGTGTTAGGTCATGGTATTGATAATAATATTAATACTATAGAGATAAAGTGATCGATGCAGAACGATTTTTGATGACCATCAGTAAATTTGATAAGCAGGTCAAGATATATCAACTTTAGCCTAATTAGGATGTATACCTTTGCCCTAGATCACAGGCCTACCTAGATGTTTATCTGGGTCTTCAGCCTGAAGAAATGGTGATTTGCCTTTCTATATCTGCTTATGAAAGTTATTGTATTAGACCTACAAACAACTCTGTTAGAGGGTTTGCCCTCAAATCTACCGGGTAAAATTTTGAGGCTTGCCAATTGAGCAGGCTTATATAAGCCTTATATAAGTGTCATGTGACATGCACATAACCCGGCTGATGGTGACTCACAACATATACAATATACATTATTTAAGTCCTAAATTGATGTGCTAGTGTCTCTGAAACACAACAGTGGGACTTGTACTTCTAGGAGGTGAATTGAAACACCCGCACCTGGGCATTCTTGCACCCCAAGCCACCCTTATAAGTGTCAATCCACTACTATATTTCGCTGCTCCCATCACTGAATCATGTCCACTGAAACACTGACTTTATATTCTGTTTCATCATATCTGCTATAATAGTCTGCATGGCCAATCCAGTTTGGATCATATTCTTCCGCAAAATATGCTTTAGTGACTGGCAACTGCCAAGTATGATAATAGAGTATTTGTGATCTTCTGTTATATCCGTGCTGACTCCGGCATTTGTCTCCAATATCGACTCTGGTATTTGGCTTTTACGCAATAAAGATTTACTGAGCATTTCCAATTACCCCGACTTATGATCTATGCAATTATCTATGCCTTGTTCCTTGTATGCAACTCCTCTTCTACTTTAATTGACTTTGTTCTAATCTTGTTACTTACTTTGTTATCCCTTATTCCGTTTCCATTACTTCTTGTACTATAAATACTTTGATGTATTACTATATACTTCAGTTTGTAAATTAATGTTGCTGGTCTCTATCTCCCAGCGTCGTCTCGACTCTGCTCTTCTCTTCTTGTCTTGTCTTGGTCAACTGGAAGTGTCAAGTGCCGTGCAGAACAGAGGGGGTTTCTACTATAGCTAACAAGCCAGTAGCTGCCTGACACAAATGAACACAAGACCAACCAGATCGGAGCGGAGTCGGAGCGGAGAGAAGTCTGGTTGAAGGACAAGAGAAGAGAGGAGAGCTATCGGAGTCATTCCGCACAGAGGAGGAGTGCAAGTAACGTTTATAATCAAGCTAAAGTACTGTAGCTACTTTAGCTGTTTAAATACTACGAGTAAGTAGAAAGGGAAGACCATAAGTAAGTACAAGGTATAGAGTGCATATGGAAAGTAACAACAAGCATAAGGACATATGGAGGTATAATTAACAAGGCGAAAGACATACAGAGTATAAGGTCGCCGGAGCGACCAGATCGGATCGGGCCGGAGCCCAGCGGACCGTGACCGGCCCGGTGGGCCGCGGCTCTTGACGGATGCACAGATATAACAGGAAGCCCCGGTCACCCAAACATCCTTCTGTGGTGTTCCGCCCCCAAGTGCTCTCCGACTTCGATTCCATTTCCGACTCCGACTCCGACTCCGACTCTGGTCCTTTGGTCGATATGGCACTTAACATCTTCACATAAATGTCTGGAAATTCCAGATCTTGTATTCTATCTAAAAACACCTGTGCTGTATAATGAACCAGGTGTACTGTATAGGTATGTTCATCCACAACAATAAGCCCACATGATATCTCAATTAGAGTATCGATATCTATCATTGTATCTGCAAATCCATTTTCATTGACTGCAAGAGCAGCTTGTAGTTCTGGAGCCGACAATGGCTGCTTTGCATAGGCAATCCAAGCTAAAGCCATAAGAGCCACACTTCTTAATTCTGAAGTTTGAAGTTTGATATGTTCAATTGTCTGATTGTAGGTGGCATCTAATGTCAGAGTGTGCTTTCAAGAATATTTTTCAACATATCCAATGTTACTGCATAGCCAAGACATTCCATTTGAAGCTTGGCCATTAAAAACCTATGATTTATAATAAAAAACAGCTCTTTTATAAATCAATCATGAATATAAATGCTTACATGCCATCTGATTTTTTTATGATTGTTGCTATTATTTGGTGCTCCAATAGCAGATCTTTCTGAATGAGCCTGGAAATATTTTTTTGTAATTTTTCAAATGGGATGTTATGAACTGTCCCCTTCATCAAGCTGGATCTCCAGAAGCATAGTGGCAACACCTGTGAGAGAAGCAATATGTGGTCTGCAAGTGATCATCAGGTTGATATTTTCTCCCATTTGAAGAAGTTGCTGAACAAGTAAATTTTGCTGATGAGTAGGGTATTCATCGAGTGCATCAAGAATGATGTACATAATCCTGAAGCTTAAGAATGTAGGAGCTAAGAAGTTTTTGGATCTCGTCCAAGGTAGGACCAGTCTCTTTTTCCTTATGTAGTTTGTATAAACTTGTTGCATCTTTGATATCTCTGTTTTCAGCTAGCTGTTTCCACAGTGCACCAAGCAGATGCTTGACTGTTTGGGTTTCTGTTTCTTTATAAGTAGTTGAGATACACACATGCAATTCCAACTGCCATGTCATCCACCAGATGTTCCACTACTTTGGATCTGGTAACCAGTTTTAATAAGGTGCAGTAAAGGGATTAAGCAGTGGAATATTTACGCAAGAACAGTCTTCCCAACACCAGCTTTATCTTATCAGCAGTTGAACATCAGCTGGTAGACTATATGGCTCACGAATTCCATAGCACCACAATTTTTCACCACAGCCTGCTTTCCATCTACAAAAATCAGGATGGTGCAGCAACCAGCGGCCTGTAAGTATCTTTATGACAGGATTCATAAATCTCTTGCTGGCGGGAGGCAAACAAAGTTGAGCGGGGAGATCCAGTTCAGGATCTTCCTACGCTCATAATCTGTCAATTCATTCATGCTGAGCACTGTATTTGAGACACATATAGGACTCGGGACTTGCCTCCTGTCTCATAGGCTGCGCTGGCATAAATCCTGAATTTCGCTCAGCCATTATTCCGAGTAGAACGACTCCTACCGCGCATATTTTGATGTGAGATGTACTTGTGCGCCTGTGCCGGAGCCACCTGCACCGCCCAGCTCCCCACCAGCACCGCCTACTCCTCCGATTCCCCCTAATGAAATATTGTTGGTGCACTAAGCATACCGCGGGCGAAAGTATTGTACTGCATACTTACCTTGCAGAGTCACAGTTATATTTTGCGCATTCATTCCGGCTTGTGGTACTGTGTACAAAGCTGGTGGTCGTCAGAAGTAGAATGCAGCCACGTTGGCATCGCGTGTTTGTCACCGACTGCTCAACAGCAGGAATGGAAGAACCCCGAAAAACTATATATACATCATAAGTTACTCTATCCACTGTTGAACAAAGCTCTATAATGGATGGGATCCTAGAAATACACGGAATGACGATGAACAATGCATGTATGCGGACAGCAAAGCTAGTAGTACACAGCGAGCACAGCGACACGAAAGCAGCCCGAAAGAAAATGAAGACCAAGTCCCTAAACCTCCCTCAGCGCGTCCCACGGCCGTTTCGCGGGCACTGTCACATGCGGCAGGTATGCGCCTTTTTGGTCTTCCGCGGGGCTTGGCAGCGCGAGTGACGGGCCTGCAGCTGCTGAGGTCTCTGCCTCCAAAGCCTGGATTTCCTGCACAAGCCTCTCGTTTGCGAAGCGCAACTGACTGATCTCATATTGCCAGCTTTCGCTTCCGCTCACGGGGTCCAGCCGGCCGAATCTTGGGTTCGTCCGGACTATTGTTGGACGCGCGCTGGTCGCGAGACGGACTGAATAAAGCAAATGGGGCGATGTGACCAGTGGTGGAAGCACCGCCGCTGTCGAGGGAGGGGCAACCCGCACAACGGCATCAACGACTGGCCCGTGACGGTATCGCATCCTGACGCTGACCTCCCGCGCCATCGTCGGCCGCTCTGTCCGCCAGTTGAAGAAGAACCTGTCGATTGTATTCTGGCTGTCTTCGCGGACGACCAAAGCACCAATTTGTGTGCCCAGAAGCGACGATGGCTCGCAGTCTCTACCGAGGACCGCGCTACAACCCGTGCCAACAGAAAGAAGGAGTCCATACGGGTCGATGATCCCGTGAAATGTTGTTTGGACTGTGCTAGTCGCGGTAGGATCCTAGAAGCAGAATCAGTGAATTTGAAGACGAGGCGTGCAAAAAATGTACCTCACTAGGACGCCTCCTTGGCCTCGGTAGTAGAGCAAACTCGAGACCACTCGCCGACCCCGCCGGCGAGCGTCGCGGTGTTGTATGCCCAAAACGAGGTGTCTCCGTGGGCGGATCGTGTCCAACTTCCGCCATACCTCTCGCACGCCCAATCATCACGATCGCCTTTCGTCCCTTGCCCGGCTCAACATGCAGCCTCCCGCGCGACTCAACCCACACCCACGCGCCTTCAAGAGAAGTTGAGCCCGAGATATAAAGAGCTAATCAACAAACCTTGCTTCGTCCTGGCCCTAAAGAGCAGATCGACCACGCGCACCGCATCGGGGTTACGCGGAACAGGCACAACGGCCTTCTCTTTCTCCTTTGACTTCGCGGCGCTCGGATCGAGCGGAGAAGCAATGGGCATACTCGCTTCTTTCAGGGCGCGGACAACTAGAGGCAGTCAGCCAGGCACACGGAAACGTGTAATTACATACCGCTAACAATGTCGCGGTCAAAGCAAATATCTTCAAGGGAATGGCCGAGTAACTCTGCTGGTGCCCAGCCAAGCACGCGCGTGACTGCAGAGGAGACGTATAGGAAGGCGCCCTAGAGTGATATTAGCGAGAGAGGTTAGGGTGGTAAATGTATACCTTGAGACTCAGAACGTGGATAAAGTCGGGTAAAGCATCGAGAAGCAGCGAGTGCAGCACATGACTAGTGGGATCGGGCTGAATGCCGGTGTGGAGAGTCGTAGGAGCGGTAGCGCCACAACTGACGAGGAAGTTGGGTCGTTGGAGCAGCCTCGCCAGATCTATAGACATCTTGGGTGGAGGTACGATGGAAGCCGCCCTTCGTTCCTTTGCCTCCTCCTTCTTGGTCCGACCTGCCTGTTTCTGCTGTTGCAAAACGGGGACAGCATAGTATGTCCCATCATGGACGCGTTTGGCTATTCCGTCGGTTTGCTTGCCGAGATCCACTTGGAAACCAACAAACCACACCACCTCGCCCTTAATTCCGCCGTCCGAACCGTCTTCGTCTACAAGCGGGACAACGGTGACGAGATTAACGAAAACCTCCCCGTCTTTGCGGTAGTTAACCACCCTAGCCTGTCCTTCCTTCCGTCCGTGGATCGCTTTCGCCAGTGCCTGTACTGTCCCACTACGCCTGATATCTCCCTTTTCGAGGTGGACATTTGGGGGAGCCTGCAAAAAGCGACAATTCCTCCCTCGTACCTCCTGCTCCGAATAGCCCGTCAAGCTGCAAAAACTTGGCGAGCAGTACACGATCGGGTCATCGTGACGGCGGCAGTCGGCGACCACAAAGCTGGTGGTAAAGTCAATTGGGCCGAGCGGGACGATGGGGTTGGGTCTGTTGGTAACCCGAGCAAGCAGGGAAACGACATCAAAGCCGGATTGGGAGTAAATGGGGAGGCCGAGGGTGGCTGAAGCCGCGTGGGGGATCTCGGGGAAAGGAGGAGAGGCGGGGAATGTGGAAAATGCGGTAGGAAATGATGACGGTGAAACGGGAGAGGCGTTGTTTTCCGTATCCTTTGCTGCAGCAAGCGCGAGATAGGACGGAAATGTCTCCGCCAGCGACTCGAGGCTCGTGTAAGCCGTCTCCACAGCGGCAGAGGTGTTGGAGTACTGGTGATGGCTGTCGTAGTCGGTGGTGGGTGGTCGGAAGCCGCTATTGGTAAACCATGCGGCGGCTTGGGCGGGATGGAATGCCTCTGCACCTCCTCCACTGGCCAACCGTGGGGGAGAGTCGAAAAGATATTGGGGAATGTGGAATTGGAGCATGCCAGACGTAAGCTGGGAGTAGTCCTGCTCATCGGGAGTGTTGTCGTCGCTGCCGGCAGCAAGGTATTGGTCGTATGGGGCAGCGTCGTGCTGAAGGTAGCCAAACGGCATGGTGGGGGAGGGAGGGAGGGCTGTGGCGGCGCTCTTCGCTCCAGCCAAGCTAATATAAGTCGTCGCTTTCGGCAGGATAGGCTTCGCGTGACAACCAGTCACACCACCAGGACGTCACCACTGACAAACGCCGCGCTTCGAAAACCCGTGGTCCATCTCCGCCGGGAGAACCCCGCGCGGAGCCCGCCTATGTAGCCTCCATGCACGCGAGCATTGTCTGTTTTCTCGGCCGCCACAAACGCGTCATTGACAGGGCTTACAGGGCATCTCATTAGGCAACATGACAACGCCCGCGCAGAGAAACCGTCTTTGGCACTTGTAATTGCTGTAATCATGATTGTCGTCTCGCTCTATCCACATCGAGCACTGCATCTGTGTGGCTTGGACTTACTATCAGGACACCCACAGACTAATTAGACGGCTGCTAAATATAGAATGTGCCCTAGCTCGACATCTCAAAACACCTTCCAACCCTCGGAAAAACTTTCACAGATGACACCAGGTGAATTAGGTACAGAAGAATACAGGATGTTCGTAACCCGCTGTCGCATCTCCACCCACGAAAACTGAATGAGACACATTTTTTTCAGGAACCATGTCTATATACGCCCCCTTTCCCCTCGCACCGTCCATTGCTCGAGACGGAGTAGTGAATAAAGGGCGAGCATCACGCACAGGGAGAGAAAAGAAAGACAAAAATGGATAGAAACACACAGTGAATTATAATCGGACAACACCCATCTACGCACGGAGCTGGGCGCGCAAGTTGGCCTCAAGGTTGCCCTTGGGCCGGATGAACTGGAGATAGGCTCCATCCCTTGACATAATCAATAACTGCTTGCACGAAGAAAAGAACGACAACGCACTGCAACACCCGTTTGTCCTCCTTGAGCTTCAAATACTCTGTCTTCTCAACCGCAGTAAAGCCCCACTTCTTGGACACGATGATCTTCTGACGGCCAGGGAACTTGTAGCGCGCGCGCCTTAGGGCCTCGATGATAACAGCCGAGTTGGCGTCCTTGCAGCGGATGGACATGATGACCTGGCCAATGTCGACGCGCGCAACAGTGCCATAAGGCTTGCCCCAGGCGCCACGCATCCCCGTTTGAAGACGGTCAGCCCCCGCGCAAGACAACATCTTGTTAATTCTCAGGACGTGGAAGGGGTGGACGCGGACCCGGAGGTGGAAAGAGTCTTTGCCAGACGTCTTGGTCACATACTAGCAGTATACTCAGGACATTGAAAACAGGACACGTAGACAGCACATACCTTGTTGGCGCAAATGCGGGCAGCCTCCAGCGCCTCGCTCGACAGCTGCTCATATTCGTCCGACACAAGGTGAGCACAGAACGGGAACTCGTCCACGTTAGCACGTTTGCGGCCAAGGTCGAATATCCGGATCTGCCCGTCGTCAGCACTGAAAATTTTTTCACTAGATGAAAAACACCTTGGGGTCAGGGACACCACGATTATACCTACTCTTCGGGTAGGGCTTGTTCTTGCAGTAGCGGTAGCAACGAGCGGGACGACGACCCATCGTATTCTGCAAAAAAAACGTCAGCACGAAAAAAAAAACGCGGGCATCCAGCCCGCTTGCAATCTTTCACGGCCGAAACCGATTTCAACAGAAGGAGTGGAGGCGGGTGGACTCGCAGAATGGCAGACGACGTACGTTGTGAAATGGGAGACGAAAAACGAGCCATGGTGGTCAGCGGAGAGGGCTTATAACGTGTGTTTGTCAGCCGAGTGATGGGTTGGTAAGACCGACATCAGTCAGCGATTCGACTCATCCGCGGGAGCGACGGCTGAACTCGCCGCCGTTGGGGAGAGCCTCAGCCTGCTGACAAGTGCATTCAGATGGTCCCCAGTTGCTGACCTTCATCGACATCCTCAAGCCGCTCCGTGGGGGTTCTACGGTCTACGGTCTACCAGGTCGGCCCCTCAGGAGTCAGGTTTGCGTGTCAATGACACTCTGTCAGTGCAAACTTCTTGACAAACCCCCGCGTTTGCCCTATCGTCTCAGTGTGAACTTGGTTCTGGACAAGAGCAAAAATCATGTTCCAAGCTTCCAAGTTACAGTTTCTACTAAGTACTTTCTAGTGTCAGAGTCTCGGTCTCCGACCCCAGAGTCAAGACTCAGACTGTTCTTCAAGTTATGGGTCAGTTTTCGCGGAGTAATGCGACGCTGGGTCTGTCTAGAGAGACAAAGGTAAGTTGGCAATTCAATTTGTCTCCGACTTTCGAAGTACTGATAATGTCGAGTCCAGAAACCGGTCACGGTTGACCTTGTCATTGCCAGTTCATTGTGTCTTCACAGAATCAAAGTTACCCGAGCACCCCGGCGCGCAACCGGCGCGCATGGCTGCCACCGGCAATGCCATTGGAGCTTCAAGCTGGTCCAACTTGAACGGTTCTGCGAGGGGAAACCATACTCCTCCTACCAAATTGCCAGTACCAGGATGAGCGCGCCGAATCTGAACCGCTTTTGACCTTTTGAATCCCAACGCTCATTCTTGGTTAACTCCTCCTTCTGATGTCAGCTTCACGCTTCCTCAACCTGCTACTCAATCCAGTCGCCTCCGAGTCGAAGTCCGAAACATTTTAGGACAACTTGTCTACTGGCACTCGCTGCACGTTCAAACTGGCTCCGATTCAGCACTTCTAGACTACTAGTAATTACTACTTGGTACTACTAGTAGTAGCACTGTGAAATGTGTTTATCTCTGTTTAGCTCTCCTGCACTATTATACAGGGTTGAACTTGAATCAAAATAACGGTTACAGTACATATTGGACTCCGAGTCCAAGAGTCAACTTGAAGTATCAATAAAGTAAGTAACTCACAAAAGCACCCAAAGAGTCTAGATTGGTAGTACCGTGACTAGACTAAGGTCCTTTCAGTTGCAGATGTCGCGCTCCTCAGGCTGCCCGCCGGGCAACGACTGTCGAGAGCACTCCGAATTATCCGGGCCAGCAGCCCCGGCCCGCTACTGACAGCTACTGACCCAGTGCCAGTGGCGGCGGCGCGCCACCACGCGTCTGCTGTCCGCCACCTCAATTGACAGTCACCGCACTGACAGACAATTATTATTAAGTAGCCACTGGCGGGCCTGGGAGCAGAGCGTCTAGTGCGTCAGGCGTGGGTTTACATACTTATCTGTGTTTGTTTATAGCAGGCAATGACAGGCATTACCGCAGTTGTGTGTCCACTTGTCTTGATCGGGAGCCTGAGGAGGGTTTCCGAGTGGTTTCCGAATCACACTCCAACGTTGGGCAAAGCAAGCAGGGCGAATTAAGTCGGACGACTTGGAGCCTTGCACAAATGGGCGAGTGCGGGGATGCCGGCGAAGTGACACTTCTTGTCAGTGCGCGTTGGAGTAAGTAGACCCGCGAGGCGATTAACAGGGCTTCAATGCATTCGTGCTGCTATACTTTCAAGTTGGATACTCTCCAAAGAACTGTTATCAACTTTCCTCGATGCAGCGCGGATGGATTCGATAGCATTCGCAATCGCAATTTTTCCTGTCGGATATCAATCATTGGTACAGTCATACGACGGATACTCAGAGGCTCCTTAGGCTGCCACGACAGCCTGAGGCCAAACATGACCTTCTTGACTGCCCCCGCGTCCATCGCCTCGAAATGGCGGCGTAATCCAGAAAACACTCCCAGACGAAACTTGAAGCTCTTCAGCGGTACTGTATGAAGGGCATTATCAAATGTGTGCTTCGAATTTGTCCAGCCGTACTATCTTAGAATGAGGTCAGTCAAGAGTAAGTGACAAACGATCGAAAGCACCCACTTACCCAGAGGATCTTCTCCTTCTCATCAGGCGGAGCCTCCGCCACAACCACGAAACCCTTGACAATGAATCGCAAACTTTGAACAGAATGCAAAGATCGTTGCGTCAATCATCCAAGAGTCAAGACATTCTTGACGCCTCCAATTTCCGTCCCGCCGATCTCAAGGACTGATATGGCGAACACGATAGAAGCTGAGAACTTAGAGAGGTCGTACAATAGACACCCCCAGTAGAGTGGCGGAGTCACAGAATCCAACAGGTTCGACCTATGAAAAAAAAAAACTCTCTTTTGAAACAAGAATTAAATCTATAAACCCATGATATAGAATTGTGTACTACTAAGAGTAAGGGCGCAGAAGCTTGAAAAGGGGCGGGTACGGCATTATGGGGCCAGCTGGTCAATAGACCGTGTGTCATGGTGTATATGGATATGAGAGGAAGTCGGTCGACAGCAGCTCGCGATTGACGAGATTGATGTTTGTATGGCGGAAGTAATGGTATGCTTGGACGATGTCGGCTTCTCGTTGGTGTACAATGGTCTAGAACAATGATCCAATGAGCACAAACACACATGCCGAGCTGGATAACACACCTTTCTGCTCCTTTCCAGTTGGTGAATACATTATGGAGCCTGGAACTGCACTCTTCTGCTCGCTCAAGACGACGAGTGGGCCAGCCTGGCAGAAAGTTGAGGGCGTCTGAACGAGCGACACGCCGGTAACGAAAACGTGCTGAGTTTGCCGCGAGGTCGACGTCGGGTCTTCATGGTTGAAGTTTGCGTTGTACGCAGAGGGAAGGCGACCTGAGAGTTATAAGATGGGGAAACTGCATGCCGCGTGCCACGCGTGGTCGGGACGGAGTGTGCTCCCACGACAATAATTGGAGGACTGCAAATTTGTTCACGTTTTGAAGGGAGGAGAGCATACGCCACGTACGCTATACCCACGGACTCCTCTCTGGTCATAGTCCATCGCAGCAGGCCTGAAAGAAGATCGACATGAGGGCAAGGAAAGAAGAGTGTCACACGTTTCTTGTTCTGTCTCTTGTTCTTCCAGAAAAATGTTCTTCCCTCGAAATGAAATGCACACTCCTCGTTAACTCACGGCATCGTTCTTATCTAGTGGCTCGTCGGTGGCTGGTCCGCCTGAAAGGGTACATGGTTTTCCAGCCGTCACTCCGAGACTCATCCTAAGGTCTGTTGCAGGCTATTCACAGCGCATTCTCCCTATCGTCTATACAAGAGTCACTAAGACGCCGTCGACTCGACCTATGGATGGATGTGTAAGGGAGTAAGGAGCGTCAGGATCAGGGAAAGTACGTGATGCTGGTCATTCGACTTCAAGTTGCTGACATAGCTTCTCACTCTCCTTGCACTGTGACTCTCCGGACATGCGCAGAGGCTCGAGCTGGTCGGTGTTCGAAAATGGCACTTGAGCTCAAGCAGGCGCCGACACGGAACAAACGCCGCTCATCGGGTTCCATCGTGACCATCGCCACTGTTGGCTAATTATATTCATCCTTCCTGCCCAGAGGGGTGCAAATGCTCCCTGGCCAAATCTAAAATCGGAGTCCACTGGACGGCGAACATGATCGTACCTGTGTTTTGCGATTCAAGTAGCAGATAGCGGCTCGCTACCAGCAGTTGATGCCTGACGCTGTTGGTGCACTGGCAATGGGCAGTACTTAAGTATAGATAGAGGGCTGTATCAAGTCCGAGTCATCCCAGACTCGGACCCCCAGGTTATGGGTGCAGTAATGCCTATAGAGCCTCGGCACCCCTCCGAACCACCCAGCCATTTCTCACAGTCTTTCCCGCTCATGATGGACTCTGCTCTTTACGGTATACCAGTGCGGAATCTCACAGCTGCTTTCCATCTAATTAATTGACAGCAATATATTCTATCCTCCTGATCCAGGCCTTGCACATTCTTCTCTCCCGCCAACGTGCAAGCGCCAAGGTTTCGTGGCACCTCCCCGCGATGTGTGCGCTGTTCCTGTTGTCCACGCTGCATATTACTGTTGCATGGACGTGGGCATTCACCACCGATACCGCCACAACCGCGATCTACGAGGTGTTTTCGCTGACTTACCCGCTCCCTACCCTAGCGGCTCCAGACGATCCGCCCAGAGTGCACTATTTCGCGACCTTCATCAAAGTCCGGTTTGCGATTGCCAAGTGTGTTTTCCTGCATGTGGATATTGTGTGCACTCAACTTGTGTAGCTTTATTGCAGACACTATTTTGGTGCGATCGCTTAAGTTCTCACACCAATAACTAACCTGAAAGTTCAAGATGCATCGTTGCTATATAATCTGGAATCGACGTTGGAAAATCATGATTATTCCGGCAATCGCTTACATTGGTCAGGCCGGAAAGTGCTATCCGCTCCCTTGAGACGATCTCTTTCTGACTGTTTGAGTAGTAAACTATGTGGTCACTCTCCTGCCCCTTTCCCAGTCCACAAGAAGAAGCATATTTGCATCCTGCATGACAATCACCTTCCTCACAAATGTTTTGATATCCGCATTGACTGGTACGCATTTCTGCTGTCCTTACCATTGACATTGGCTCAGACAGAACTTGCAAGCGGGTAGAATATGGTGGATGGCACGCAAGATCAACCGCGTGCTTCAAGGAAGAACCACAACATTGTACTCAAACCTCATCGCCATCCTGTAAGTGTGTCAGCATCGACTGTTGCTTGAAGGCAACAACTCACCAGCAGTAGGCTCGAAAGCGGCTCGATGTACCCCGCGGCTATCCTTGTGGGTGTCGGCGCGTGGATCCCTCACCAAGCCCCTCTCGCGATGCTGCTCAGCTGTTTTGCTGTCGTATACCACACTGTAGTACGTCTTTTCCATCCGAGAGCATTCGAGTCTCCTGACCCCGCTTTCAGGCCATCGCCCCCACGCTCGTCATCGTGCGCATTGGCCTTGGTATCAGCATGAACGACGTGGACGAGTACATCGCGTCGGTTTGCGTCAACAGCGTCTGCCTGTCCCGGCGCAGTGGCCATCCATCATTGGGTACCTTGCACTTTGCAGTGCCAGCGGCATCTGCCACAAATAACAACTCAGGCTGCGCGCCAGATGTCAGCCTGAGTGAGCCCCAATTGAAAACTCCCAATTCGACGGACCACTTCCAGTCCGGGTATGATGCGGAGATGGGCCTATGGTCTGAGAAGAGTAGGAAGGAATGTAACACATCTTTTACCTTGTAACTTGAGCTTTTTTTCCCGACGCGCCGCTCGCTATGAGAATACAATTAACAGCTTCGTCACAGCTTTGCGAGCATGACTCTTGCCCTTACCTTCAGCAGCCAGGACCTCCAAAATTGTACGCTCTACGAGCCGCGGGCGGGCAACATCGTGCGGTACATCCTGAGCTCAGAGTACGCGCCAAATGCTGTCCCAAGGGTCACGCACATACGACTGGGCAGTGGCAGGATCAGCAGCGCCTGCATAGATTGGGAACGATGTCGCTTCGTGGTTGATGGAGTTGCTCGAGTTTGGAGGGACGGCTTTAGTGCTGGAGAGCATGACTGGGAGGCTTTGAGCGGGAGACGATTCGCGCTGAAGTGGCGAAATTCGGACACGGAACTCGTCGTGCGTGCTTTCTCCTCCAAAAAATGGATGGTATTCCGAATCTGAATGACTGTCTAGGCTCACCCTACCTCGGGCGATACCAGCGTGGTCCGCTTTACCGTCTTCCGGCCGCGGGGCATGCTTTTCGGGGAGAAGAGTGGGACGTTATCGTTCCCGGCGGCCATGAAGGAGGAGAGCGAGCGAGTGGAGTTGCTAATGGTGGTCCTGAGGGAAGTGCTGCGGCGTCATGGAACTGCCAGTGGGTCCGCCAACAGTGGCTGGAGACCCATGGCCGCAGAAAGTGTTGGGCTGGACGGGAGGGTGATTAGACCAGGAAGAGTTCATAGCAACTTGTTCAGCGATGACCCGCCGCCACCATATAGCAGCTAGAAACCACCTGGACGCTCATCATAGGTCAACGGATTGTGGTGGTTTGCGAGGAAAACTGCCGGCAATCCGGCAACAATCCGGGAATGAAATCCTTTTTACTTCGTAATCATGATGACGTTTAGCTGATGTCCGTCGTTGCTTCCCTCGCCCAGGAGCTCATCGACGCCATCCTCGATTTCCTGCACGACGACCGGCCCAGCCTTCTTCAGATCAGCCTCGTCTGCCGCCAATGGGTCCCCGCAACACGCTACCATCTCTTTGAGCGAATCACGCTCAGTCTTGTTCGCCATCGCGGTTCCGTCAGCGGCCTGCGCGACACTGCCCGGCCGTTTCTCCAATTATGTCACTCACCATTGTGCACGATGCTGCCCGGCATTCAAGACGTGTTGATTGCGCTGCAAATTTGCGGAGAGGAGCTCATCTGGTAGAAATAGTGCAATTTGAAGCATGCGGGGAAGGAAGTCATGGTGAAGCGCTATGCGGAGTGGGTGTGATCCCGAGTCAATAATTGTGTTTGTTACACTTAGCACGGTTCGGAGAGTGCGCAGCCAAAACTCGGCGGGAGCAGGGTTAGAGGGTGTGTTTGCCATATCCAGCGCGGCGTCAAGCACGACGAGTACTTTAGGGAAGAGGTGGCACGACACCAAACTCTCTGCCACCGCGCCCGCCTGGACCGGGCCACGATTAGACGAGTCGGCCACCAGCAGCTCTTCGACGTGGAGTAGAAGTTCGAGCGGGCGGCAGGACAGGATTATGAAGTGCCGAGTGCGTAGTTTGGCGGGGACTTCGTCGACCAGCGTGAGATGTTTTTTGACGAAGCGGACAAGACTGTCGACCGACCCGCCCGCCGCATCCAGGAGCACGTCAAGCTGAGAATGGGATAGAGTGGCTGGTATCATGGCGATGCAGTCATGTAGCATGCTCACGTCCGGCCTGGGATGGCTCAGAGTATATTGCCAGGCGTCAACCATGAGACGGAGGTATGCCGGGCTATTCCAGAAGACGCGAGACGGGCCCAGGTTACCCGCCAGACGATCGATGTCACACTCGTATTTCTGGACCCATTTTACCTCTACTGCCCGAGTGAAGTGCGCAAAGCCCACAAGCAGCGTAGTCTTGGGCGGCAGCACCATCTTGTCGTCAACTGTAACAACGTCCTTGATCAAGAGGAGGAAGTCGTGGGCGTCGTAGAGGAACTCCACCCAGGCTATAACGAAGCTACACATATCAAATACGCCATCTGGGAGGCCCTGTGGCTTATGGCCGAGGATGTGTGGCAAAACCCACAGACATGGTGTATCTGCCTCTTTTCGGTAGAAGACAGGTCTTCAATGCGCGCCAGTGGTGGAATTCGTTCCGAATCCAGGACAGCGAACAAGACTAAAAAGAGGCGACCGTATAGTGTGCTGTCTGCGCTCAACCAAAGGCGGTCGAATCGGCAGTAGTCTGAATCAGAGCAATCAAGTTGACAAGCGGCGAGTGCAACCTCCTAACGCAGATCATAGTTTGGTCTAGTCGTCTATAGAGTAGCTTAAACTCTTACTCGGTGTGGAGACGGAAGGCTGTTGAGTGCTTTCACGCGAGCGGCGGCCAATGGATGCATTGGAAGTGCAGGTCACTGTCGTGACACTCTCTTCCGTTCTATCCTTCATTGCCACGCCGCCTCTCAGCTTTTCTGCTCACCCAATGACCAACCAATGACTCTATACTGGAATAAATCATCGAAGAGGGAGGATGATCGGGCGAGGTCGTCGTAAAAGCATACCACTTACTCCACGTGGCGACACTGCTCCTTCATCGGGGCCTCTCACAAGGGTAGACGACGAGCAAAAGATCTTGGAAGTGAGGAAGCCACATGTACGTGGAATGCCACTTTTCGCGTGAATATGCACTAACGATCTTCGTTCCAAGCCCCAGCTTCGGAGTCCGAAAACCGTATCACCCTCTCTCCCTACTCGCCGACCTCAATCAGCGTTGGTACAAAACTGGCGAACGTAGTTATGTCGTCTAGCTTCAGGTGCGTCGCGATGAGTTTATGCTTCTCTTAGCTTTTTGGTCTAAGTATTCTCACAGATCTTCAGGCTCACTGCTTCCCCCCAATCACAACTCCTTCCCTCGCCAATTACTCCGAGGATCTTGGGCGAAACACCAGCTGTTCGATTGGAGACGTATCGCGTGCCTGGTGGACGGATTGTAGCACCTCTCGAAAGGGCTGATCGTAGTCGCCATTGGCAAGAGAAGTCTATGAATCGACTCCGGAGTTTCTTTCCGACATATGTTTCCTTGGTCCAAATCCACGATAACCCGATCAGCTTCTACGCCGCCTGTTGTTGTCGCACGGCCACTGCCACCAACGAACACGATGTGTTCTTCTCCCGTCGACAGCTGGACGATCGCCCAATCGCGGGATAACCCACCGACGAAGACAACAGTTGCCCTTCCGCTTTCCTTTGCTCAAAATCCTGTCCTTCCTCGCCGATTTTGGGATCGGATACATACCGCCATTGCCTATGCCCATAACCCAAAACCACACATCGACCGAGTCTGCCCCCGGCACGCAACTGAGCATAGTGCTCTCGTAAGCCGTCCTGCAGATCTCCATTTCGCCATGCTCACGTGAATGCCGTAGAATAGTCGGGCTTCTCGGCTGCGCTGTCGCTGCGTTCACCGTCCTCTTGCTCACGTCCCGAGAGCGGAGAAGAACAGCTCAACGACGACAACTCTGCGATGCACAGGACGACGCAAGGCCTGTAGAGTTTGCCCTGTGTCCCGTTATGAAGCCCGCGTTGGATGCATCGACGTGGAAAGATATCCAGGTTGGTGTTCCCACTTTTGCCTGTGAGCCAGAGTCCCTAATTTGCATAGCCATTAGCGATGGCACGACTAGCTCACCGTTTGCCTCTTCAATCACTAGATGGCGTCGAGCCAGGCAAGCCGCAATCCACACCCCCAACACAGAACACGACGCAATCACGGCTCCAGCTTCCAAATTCTGTCCCTCAGCCGCCTCTTAGTGTCGCTGTTCTGATTGCGATGCCCATCGCACCGCCTGCGGCTGCGACAGTAGACCACAGCTTTCCACAAGAGACAGACCCTGCCCCGGAGAACATCGTCATTGGTATTTCCCAGACGTGGTTCCTCGAGGAAGGTCATCGAAGATAAACCGAGTCTGGGAAAATCGAACTTCTGGTCGAAAATAGGGTGGAAAATGCGCCAATGAGAAGAAAAAAGGAGTATGCTTTGAATAACCTATGTTCTGTCAATACCAGCGAATGAGAAGGATACAGCACAATGTGGTCCACCGCATCGAGGCTCAGAAATGGTTGTAAACAAACTGGAATGGATGACACATCCGATCCCACGCTGGTTTTCAGTCACGTCACAGCGATCGATCGCCTTGCTTCCGTTCTGCATTGACGAATTTTGCGAATAACCCTTCCGCTGCTCCCGGTGAGGTCTGACGAGAATTTGACAATCAAATCTGACTTTTCTTCAGTACAACATGACGCACGAGGATGGATTCTTCGCCTCCCAGCTCCTGCCCAGCAGCGTCAAAACGACTTCCCTTGTTGACTGCCTACGAGCCAATATTCAGCCCTCCGATGCCGAAGCCCACCAACTGCGCATGGCGGTCTCTCGCTTCCCAGCTGAGGTTGATGAATATGACAAGGAGATCGCTCGCCTCCAGGCCAGCCTCGCACGCTTGACAGAGGAGCGTAGCCGGATGCAAATATACTCGAATGCGAGCGCCAGCATCCTCTCTCCAATCCGGTCCATTCCAACCGAACTTTTGCTTGCTATTCTCAGTGAATGTGTCGACTTTGTGCCACGGAAGAAGTACACGGGACGGTGGACGAAGGACGGTCCTGATATCGACGACGCGTTGCACATGTCCTGGAGGATTCTAGGCACCGTCTGCTGCCAGTGGCGCACCGCCATCAAGGGTGCGATGCAGATCTGGCGGGTCCTCGATTTCTCCGCCGTCACAATAAATGACACCGGAATCGCGATAGACACCGCAGACCGTGCGATGCGGGCGGCCAGAAACTCATCGCTTGTCCTCCGACTCAGGCCTACGTTCTGCCGCGGCGCGCCCTACACTGTCTACGCTGGGTTCGGTCCGACGTTGAAGGCAGTGTCACACTTGTTGGCATATCCCGAGCGTTTAACGTCGCTGAAGCTCATCGTCAACCACAACGATTTAAATGAAATGCAATACAGCTTCCGCAACATTCTGTTCCAGCTGGAAGAGCTTGAGCTTGAGACGGTTCCTGATGTCCATCCCCACAAAAGCAGCGCACCGCGCAATATTTGGGCCCATTGGAGGGTGTTTGAATCTCTCCCCGCATTGAAGACGTTCACTTTCACGGGTACTTTCACAACCACGCCCCCGCCAGTCCCGTGGGCCCAACTCACACATGTCCACTTCAAGCTTGCGTCACGTGAGGCCCGCAAGCGGCTTGATGATGAAGACGGCCCATTATACTCGTTGTTCTCCTTCCTCGAGCATTGTACGGAACACTGCACCGTCGTCATATCGGGCCTGGAAGAACGCCACGACCCCGAGTACGAACACTGGCCCACTCAGCCAACACTGCGGTCGGCCCTCCACGCCCTGCATCTCCTCACTAGTACTATCGACGGCGCCGGGAGAGGAGAACCCATACGCATCCTGCAGCTCTTAGACCTGCCCAATGTAGCCGAAGTCCGGCTCGACGCTGGTGGGTACTACCGGGGCCATCTGTGGAATCCAGCAATATTCTCCGCCTTCGTGAACCGCTCGCCACTGCTAACCGCATTGCACCTTCTCGGGGTTACAATAGCGCCAATGGACCTCATTTCTGCCCTCCGCCAGACGCCCCTCCTGCAGCGGCTCTCCCTCGAGGATCACGCGAAGTCACACAAAGGATTATTCGTGTTTTCGTTGGACAACGCGGCACTGCGGGTCCTTTCTGACACACCGTACATCGCCCCTAGGCTTGCGGACCTCACGCTCGTATCCTACTTCCAGTTCAGCGAGGCGCTGTTGGCCGATTTGCTTGCGGTGCGCGCAACGCACAATCGCCGTACGGGGCAGAACGCCGGCAGAACCCGGCACCCGTTCGTCTTTCGCGGCCAGCTCTTGCCTGTTCCTGCGAATGTTGAGGACAGCAAGCTGGAAGACGGAACGGACCTTGAATGGACAGCGAAGGATGCAGCCGAGATTTCCGACCTCCTCATGGAGTCTGCGTGGAAGGAAGGGCTGCGTTTTGTCCTGGAATGACCGTCAGGGACGAGTTGGGATGACAAACAAAAGCCGACTCGGAGTTCAAGTGCTGATTCGAAAATAATCGTCGGCGATCGGGAAAACTATATGCGGGGGTGTCTGTCGTTACTAGTACCATTACTACTAGTACTTGTTCAAGCTTACTGTAGTGTGTGTCCGTAATGTGTATGACGTCCGCTGCATTCCAATCATATGAGAGAATGTAAATATCCGAGTCTGCTTAGGCAGCCTCGAGACTCATGAGAATGGAACCTCTCCCATTATCACACCATGGACCCACAAAGATATCAGGTGGCGGCTTGCCGCATCGGCCATCATTTTGAATTGAATCAATAATCATTCTTAGCCGCGAGGCTGTGTGACTGTCATACACCACTTGCCGTCTTCTCTCTCCACCGATTCCACACTATGGATTTGGCCTACTTTCCTCGAGAGCTGGAATGCACTATCCTTGAAGTTGCAGCCAACTCTGACTCAACCTTCATTCCCACTCTGCTTCTCGTTGCTCGGCGAGCGCACGTCTGGTATTTTGGTGCTCAGGCTTCCATATTGATGTTTTTCATGACGAATATATGGCTAGGCTGGAGCCGCTTCTGTACCGACAAGTCTACATCAGCACAGACCCCGACTTCGAGTGGAAGCGTGCACAGGATGCGTTCTTCCGTATCGCTGCCTCAAAAGCGCCGTCTTTCCTGGCAAAAAGTGTCCGCTTTGTGATTCTTGAGCTGCAAGATAGAGCTCAACTCAGTCAACATTTCCTGGATTGTGTTTATTCGGCCCTATGGCTATGCACTGGAGTGGAAGAGATCGCTGTAAATGGCTCTCACATACTGAATATCGGACCGACATTATTACCCATCTTCTCTGCCATGCCGCTTCGCCGCCTCGGTGTCTTTCTGGAGGATCTAATACCCCACCCAACCCCCATGAAGGGTCATGCGCCCGCGTTCTCTGCTCTCACACACCTGGATGTGTACGACAACGAAGGCCACAGTAGCCGCTCTCGCGACCTCGTTCGGATTATTCCGTTTCTGACTGCCCTCCCTAATCTGACGCACCTTGCTATTCATGTCCCTTTGGACTCCTACCATGTCAAGCAAATATTAGATGGCTGTTCCCGTCTCCAAATTCTGGCTTTTGTTACCTGCGCTATTTATCGCGAACCATCGCCGTTCATGGAATCCGTGCAGTACCTCGCAGAGTCACTGGGCGACGCGCGTATTTTGGGCACCACATTTGCGGAGTGGATGGAGGTTCTGTCCATGGTGGCCCCCTCGTTTTGGCGAGCTCTCGACATCCTCATTGATCAAAAGAAACAGGGCCTCATTGATGGTATGTGGCGATGGAAGACTTGTCCCACTTTTGGTGATTAATCGCTTCGTAGATAAACATGCTTCGACAGGCGATTTCTGGAATAAGGACACTCGAGATTGTATAGCGAAACAAATCCGAGGGTTGATTTAAATGTGCCATAAAAGCCGGAACTGTGCGAGTCGGAGCTAGGTACTGTTCTTGGGCTCTATCGTGAATCGCTATCTAATCAGTTGAGCCATGGGGGTTAGTAGATGCATCGGGGATCAACAAGCTCAAAAGGGAGTACAGCGAATGCCCATGATCACTCTCTAGAATGACTCGTTATGTGGTGTGGAAGTGTATAAGTAGCTGCCAGTGGGTCTTGTCGAACTTGATTGCTTTCCCTCACTATCCGAGTCTTCAAACATAATCGCAGCGATGTGGCAGTCACGTAGGCCAGTACCCAAAGTCAAATGCACATACTGCCGTCTGCATCAGTACGATGTGAGCGTTGGTTTATTCTGTTGTCTCCATCTGATAGCCTCCAGTGTAAAGCACCATCTGGTTCCAAACTCAAGGTTGGCGAGCCTGGTTATCTCTGCGCAACATGCCAGAGTGACCATCAACTCTTCTGCACCTTTGAATACCTTCGAGGCCGCACTCCCAGTCCACCTACGGACTATGGCCCTTCATTGCCCGTGGTACCAGTGCCGGGGCATCACAGCCCATCTCAGGCTGGCAGCTCTAGCAACAGTGGCCTTGGCTTGCTCCCACCTACCAATCAAGACAGAGGTGGTCGCTCCCATCATGATGGCCATGTTGACAATGGGCCACGCTATGGGGCACAACATAACTGGCTGTTTCACGAAGCCGCGTCCATGGCTACACACGTACCCATGTGTATACCGGCCATCCCTCTATTGACTACCCAGTTGCTTGGGCGCGATACCAGGCTCAGTTTGCGCCGCCACCTACTGCCGGTGGTACTGTAAACCCAGCAGTTGCCAATGCATACGACGGCCAATTCGAGCAGTACTGGCCAGCAGTTGCCCCAGCATACGGGCAGGCGCCGGCCACAGATCACATTCCGAGTCATAGCAACTATCCTGGTTATCCCCCGCAGCAGATCCAGATTCCAGCTGATAATAGTGGCGTCCGTCGCAGCAAGCGCAAGGCCAATCGGAAGTAGAGAGTTGAAGTGTTTGTAACGCCCTTATGCATTCCACGAGTTCCTTTTTATTGAGATAATCTTAGTGAGTTTGTGGTGTCTCTCGATTACTTCAATCGTCGATTACCGAAATCACTAGTAATGCTTAGTAGCTCTCGTTGTGCGACTTGCCTGATGAAATATATACAGTCATGATCATCCTCTCTTGCGTTCCAATAACCGTCTCGGTGGTCGGTCATAGACCCTGCCAGTGCCGCACATGCAGACAATAAGTTATAACCAGTGGAAAGAAAACCGGTACCTGAGAGGAATATCACGGAGCCTCAGAGAAAGCACAGCGTGCTGTGTTCCAGACGCGCGGGATGAACGCGCAGAATCCATTTAGTAGATACCACGCGGATGGTGATTATGATTAAACGAAAGTATAGATGAACACTGTTCGATTGGTTAGCCAACTTAGTACACTGGCATTGGATACATTGGCAGAATAGAAATGTAAAGTACGTCCGAACGAAGACGATACGATATGCCATCGAATCATAACAGGCGGTTGAGGGCAGTGGAAATGGGAATGGTGGAAGACTCCGGCGAAAAGAAAAAAAGGGGGGCTTACAGGTAGCTTATAGTCCCGTTAAAATCGAAGCCGCGCTGCAGCCTGCGCTTTCCCGTTGCCGAACCGTCGTCGCTTCGAGCCCACGAGTCCCACAAAGAAAACCTGTCAATCCGCAGCTGCAGCGCCCTCCGATCGAAACAAATGCCGACACGACAGTGACGACACAAATGCTTCGCCATGGTTCCACGTTCCACCTGCGATCCGCTGGCTGCCAACGCTGTGGGGACAAGTCAAGAGGATGGGCGGGTGTGAGGACGCTCCAGTCATCTCACTTCCGACGGCTTTCGACACGTGCACACTGCAGACTCGAAGCAGTGGACAGTCCAGCGAATGTGCAAAGGTCCATTGGCGGGCTGATGAAGGGGTGATGACCCGGACGCGACACTGGCGGATGCGGAGGGCCCAGGAACTGTAGTAGATGGGTTGAAAGCGGCCAGAAGCCAACGGAAGGAACACGTACGATCTCACGCCTTTTCCCGCCGCTCCTAGCCTAGTAGTGCACCCAGGTCCCAGCCGCGTCTGAATCCGTGTCTCTGTGCTCCGCGTCGAGTATGAAAGATGTGATCAATGTGTTGGGTGGGGGTGCATTTCCCGGTAGGTCAATCTTGCTGCAGTTGGAGTTCGACTCGAAATGGCCCGCGTGACGTCACTGACGTGTGATGCACGGCGATCTTCGTCAAAACTTCCATCTCTCTCTGCCGCATACAACATACGAGAACGGGTCGCCTTTACATTCTTGGACGCTGCACCGTCTGACGTGTCCCGCTGAAGATCTCTGTGCAGCGTTAAGTTTTCACGGCAGGTTTGGCAGACCAGAACGAGACGACCCATCTGTCTGGACTCTGGAGTCAAGCAGGACTGAGAGACGCTTATTATGGCTACCCATTGTCGGTGCAGCAATCCTTTGTCGCAAAAGTGGTTTACTATCAAACCTGGCCGGAATACATGGAACTCATATACATGTTGGCACAACTCCTTCAAGAGCCATAAGTGTCCCCCGAACCATCGATGAGATAGCGCGGTGGCGTATGTGTGGCGGTGTACTCGGTGTCGTATCGGGAGTCGGACGAACTGTTGTGTCGGCTGCTGCTCGAGCCTTCCAACATGTCAGCCGCGGGATATCATACTCAGCAGGAACGACATACTGCTGCTGCCTGAGGACTTGGCCGGAGTGTACGACGACGACTCCATCTTGGGCGGGTCCGACGAGTACTTCTTGTGCTCGCTGCTTGTTTCCTGCTTGGGCATGCTTGTTTGGGTATGAACTCTCTGTTTCTCGCCATGGTATACTATTTATACGTTTTGCGCAGACAGCAATTAGGCGCGCGGTGACGCAGAGGCCCGAGCTGCGTGACCATGGAGCGCGAGCACAGGGCTCGAAAACGCCCAGGCTGCGGGATTGAATCGCGTCGCGTGAGTCTTGCTTCCGCTTCAGCGCGCTATTCACTGTCAAGTGCTGATGAATTAGGCGCCGGAACCCCTGGGCCCGCGTGACCACCGTTCAGGCCGCGGGATTGCATCTCCTTCAAGTTCTGGCCTTGCTTCCACAAGTTTCAGTAGCAAATTCACCCCGACACGGAGACGACCGCGGGACGGGAACGATACTATACCGCATTCCACTGTCCACGAATCAACGCTGGGGTCCAATAAGTGCTATGTATCCGAGTCTGGGCTCAATTTCCGGAGCGATAAAACTCTCCTACCCCTCGTCACGGGTAATGGCATTCACGCCGCGACTGGAGTGAAGCTTGAAGCGAGTGTGTGACAGTGTTTTGGCTGCTTTGTGAGTTTCGTCGTCTCCCAGGCTGTATATATCATGCTTACTATGTCATGAACAGCACGACAGTTAAGGAGCGCCTGATTGCTAGTATTCAATAATCGATATTCCGCCGGCGGTCCGTGAGTAATGATACTCTCACCTTGCGGGATGGTATCTATCGGTCCAGCGCCGGCCCGGGACCGTTCTCTTGTTCCATTGAAGCTTTGTAATGCTCCCATCGCGTTATAGACTTATTCGAAGCTACCAGCTGATCTCTCACCAGTCGCCACCAGCGTCTAATCCTTGACGTTTCCGCTATTATCCGGATTGCGGCGCACAGGTACAGGAAAACAATCGTTGGGATCACCGCATGACCCACTTGCAGTTCCCACAGCCGCACCTCGCCGAGTCCCTTCCTCCCTTCCTTCATCTATGGCCTCCGAGTCCCCACCATCGCCGTTGCAAACGCACCGGCGCTGGTTTGAAGCTTTAGTTCCTGGCCCTCGCCCAACAGCCACTATCGCACAACACCCGATTGCTGATTTAGTGCCAGTGGGGCCGCAGAGCATATGGCGCGATGACCTTGCTGCGACCAGTGTATTGCGTCGCTCGCGCGTTCTGACCACTGGCAGAAAATCACAGATTCTCGATAATCTGGGCTCTGACTGGAGCAATCATGATGCCTATGCCACTGACGACACTGCAGTAGCATTATTGCCATTGCTGACCCGGACAGTGAGCGAAAATACAGCTGTTGCCGCCGTTTCCGTGGCAGTGGATGCGCTGTTGGTCGACATTCATGTACGTTGATTCAGCTGGGTCAGGAGCATCACTGACGATGACTGTTCACAGAATTTTGCCCCAGCTTCCAGCGATGCCAGTGCGTGGACGGAACTCCGCGATACTGCTGTCTCGTTGCTCCAAAACCTGGAGAGAACTTACACAGCTTCTTTGGATGAACAGAAAGCGGCCGAGCTTAATGCCAAGTGTCAAGACTACATTCAGTCAGCTGTTTATGACCAATCCAAGTGGTTCACTGACCAAATAATATATAATAGATTGCTAACTCGCATTCGAGCAACAGTTAGACGACTTTCTCAACAACCTCAGTCTACACAAATACAAAGGATCTTACTGAAAAATCTTGTAGCAACTCAAGTTTCCCACCACCTCACAGCTTTGCATAAATTCAAGATAGAACTCCAGGTAAGGCCATCATCGATGCATCATCCTTCTGGTATACTTCCTACTCAAATCTTGCCAAGACATTTAATGATGGAGACAAATACACAGCAACATTGCCAACTGTTTCTGACATGAAAATTACCAAGTCTGAAATTTCACAAGTTTCTGATACCTCCCCTGCCTCAGATGATCATACTATTACTAATATGAACAACATCTCAAATGAAGACTTTGTTCAACCAAGCCCCCCCTTTTCCAGTGAAGTTCTGTCTATTGGAAGTATTAGTGGTGAGTACGCATTATTTATTCTATTCTATGGAAAATATTATTTGTATTTCTAATTAAATTATATGATGTCCAGGTGGAATTGGGGGAGCAGGAGGTCCAGGACTACAGGCTGCCGGACATGGAGGTACTGGCCAAGGACCAATTTTTAATATTCAAAC